TCCAACAGTCGCTTATACTGCAACCTTTGGTATTCTACAAACCTATTGACATAGCGCAAATCTACTACTAACCTCTTCTTAGTAGACCCAACTACCACTAGCTATTCCATTGATAACAATATGTGTGCCCGCCATTGTTATATCCCACACAGTTACGGCACCAGTTTTCAGCAAGTTCTGTAATTCTTCTGCCGCAAACTCAGAATATATATCAACTGAAGATCGATTAGGAAATACAATCCTATGAGGTTCAGATCCATGTAAGAAAGCATCGACCTTGTCTAACCCTACTATGGGACGTAGCATATCTCTGACTGACCTAATTTTGGTTTCAAAACCTGGTTGACTCTTTTGTTGTGCATCAAAAACACCACAAAATGATAATTTAACCCCTTCTCTAATCCACCGAAGCACTAATTGCACTTGCTTACATTGGCAAAAGTTTTGAAAATATCGTTCCCATATTCTAACATGGGAATGAATGAAGCCAGCTTTGAAATGCTCAAGACTGGGAATAATATTCAACAAGTCACGGAACCATTCTTGATCATCTTGCAAAGCAACTGGGCGCTCATGAGCTGCATGTTCAAGCTTCTGCAGCTCCCAGTCTAAGAATTTCAAAGCCACATCCTCAGCAAGCAATGCACCTTGTGATGTGCAAATGGGCAGCCTCTACTTAGTATCAGTATGTGGTATCCAGATCATAGAAATATCAAATCTCCATTAGAGTTTCATCTCCTCATCCTCCTCAAATTCCTCCTCCTCAAACCCAAGACTTTCTATCCCTTCCTTGGCACTGAGCCTGGGCGCTGTGCATTTCCCTACAAATCATGACCGTCCACTGGTCTTCCACGTCCAGCCGAAATACTCTCTCCTTGGTCATGAACGAAGCGGCACTCTAGGCCATAAGAACATCGACCTGTTTGAGACCACTGTCTGCAAGGGCGGGAGCTAGCCCAGGTGCTCCTACCACCGCGGAAACTGGTGGGCCCCCAACGCCCTCTCTTTTGTCTGAGGTCATCGTCCCAATCCAATATGCGCCTTTGCTTGTATCGCATGTCAAGAGCCTTGTGACTCTCAGACCGAGCCATTTCCACCAAGCTGCCTTTGTACAATTCAACTTCCGCAATAAGAGTAGATGCGACTTTATCAATGCTCTGCTGAGAACCCGCAGAAGGCGTCATGTCCAGCTTCCTTTGGACATAACGAAACCACTAATTTGTCTTCCACATTAGGGTGACAGCGCACTCATGTCCTTCAATCACGATTCGAAAAACATCCTTGACAAAGTGCAGAATGGCGGCCACGCCATAATGTCTCTCCATAGGAGACCCCAGACCTTTCCTCAACATCGGCATCAAACTGCATGCTTGTTCAGCTATTAACTGCTTTTGTGTAAAAGACAACGTCTATGTACATGTTGCTGATGTGCCTTCGTCAAAAATTATTCTTCGCAACAATTCTGCTCTTTCTTTAAAATCAGTCTGCCAAGAGCTGAGCAACTTAGTTGCCAGGTCAACTTCGATAGATGGAGAACTTCTTCTAGGTGTTTCAATCTTTAAACAGTCACACCGCAATTTAGGTAAAGAATATATTATCACAAATCTAATGTTAACTTGTGAATTCCGTTTATGATTATTACTAAATTCAAGTGAACAGAGCGTTATATTTAAGTGCACATGCCAAGACCAAACACTCACTATGTTTGGCCCTTACCACCTTACCACTGACTCTGGATCTTGTATGGACCCATATAAACATTCAAACAATGAACGCAAACTCAAACGCACCAATTTTGCAAGCTTTTCTAAGCACCCACTAACCTTGGACTTCCATTGCCTTTTGAGTGCACTGCACCCCTTGCGGGAAAACAAACAATCAATTCAAACTGAAGATTTCAGCAACTGATCCCAACTCTCAGTTTTGCTTGCAAATGAACTAACACTCAAGGAAAGCAATTTTACAGTCTGGATCGTTTACTAATTTTTGCAAATTGTCCCAGTACCTACTGAGCTTGACCTGTGCATTGCATTTTGAGTTCTCTAGACCCTAACCGCTGATTTAACTAACACTCAGGTGAAACAGGCTTATACGCCTAAAATTGTGATGTTATTAGTATTTGAACCAAAATTACTCATTCTACAAAAGCTGGAATGTAAAATAAGTTAACATCAATTCCAATTATAATCTCAATGCGTTTCGTAAGAATTTCTTTGACAAGAAATTATTTACCAAACTTTCTTCTAGTTTGCTTGTCGCCCGTGGTTCCTCCCGTTCTTTCTTAGCAGCTGAACATTGTTCTTGTGATGGAACTGTCAGGTGTTCAGACTTTTCCACCCGTGCGGTGTCCGATGGCAGCTCGGTATGACGAATTGTCATTGGGCCTGCTAAGGCCTCCGCTTCACACAGATGAACGCAGCCGGGTGCGTCCACAATTGGAAGCCTGCCTTCTGCCAACAAGGTACTCAGCATTGCAGAATTCCATCGAGAGGAACTGCCTACCCTCGCAATCGCTTCCAAACCAACCACACAGTGGAGTGGGTCGACGTTTCCACCTTGCATTTCCAATCTTAAATGCACTTGCATGCCCTTGGGTGGATACGGGTGCTTAAACATGCTTGTAACCGTCCCTATTGACGATTGAACTGTATATGTGGCGGTTGCGCCACTTTTGCCATCAGTCACGACTGCTGAAAGGACCCGAACTTGCTCTTCTGGAGCTGGCAGAAACCCAAGTGCATATGTACGTGCCATGTCGAGCCTAATGTCTCACAAAAATAACTTTTACCTAACTTACTTACTCTACTTGATAAAGCTTTAGCAATTCTCAATTTTGTTTACAGCAAAATTTAAGACACATGTTGTTGAGTCTTAGCAATTTCGTCATTGTGAATATTATTTTATAAATTGTCTTGAAAATGATCATGATATGAGCAATGGCAAGATTGTATACAATGTTCATTCAGCAACAACAAGAACCAAGCAAAGTTGTATTAGATAGAATCTGGAACTTTGAAATATCCAATCAACTGATCTCCTACTATATAAGTCCAGTCTAATCATCAACATAGATACAGATACTTATGTTACAACAGTGGCAAGCGTGCACAGTGCAGGGTAGTAATTCATGATGGCTGCCCTCCCAACTGACCCCTTGTTTCAGGTATGCCATAAGATGTCTGTACAAAGCTCATGCACTAGATGCATGCCTTTGTTCAGTTGTCGCCATGTTTCGCACTCCAACAACCTTTACTGGACGCAACCATGTATCAGTTGCAGCTCGTTACTTCCTTGTAGCAAGCCAACACAACACAATTTGCCAATTTGCGATGTGGTGCATGGCCTTTCGAGGTGTAGTCTGGCTTACCAAACGACGTGCCGTCAATCCTTTGCTTTGCACCGCCGTTCGTTGCGGCGCAACGAGCCGGCTCACGATATCGATGCGTGGTTTCCCCCGTTGCGCAACCCCTTGGTCAGAGAAGTAACGTGATTATGCAGGTGATTGGCACACGATGTGGCGATGTGATGTCCGTCAGCACACTCGACAGTGCCGCGACGTGACAAGGTTCCCCAGCTCGCTGCACGAGTGGCGTTGACCCTTCCTTCCGACACGGCACGGAGAATCTCACGCGATCACAGGTGTCGTGATGTGCCATCGACCTCCGCCACACGTGATCGTACCCGCAATGTGAACCCGCACAACTCCCGTGTGCCACAGCCAAGCCAGCCAGGCAATCATTTGCACAGAGTGCGATTCGTGGCACGGCTCACGTTGCGGCGGCTGCCACTCGTCAAACAGCCACAACTTGTCGTGCCGCAGCAAAATCTGTTGATTGCATCGTTGTGTCCTACATGGATTGACGCTATTCGTTGTCAACTCCTGGCCGCGAGAACAAGATCGTCTCTGGAGATCCGCAGGAAAATATGCAATTTTTTGTGCCGTCACCGTCTCCATCACCATCTCTATCACCGTCACGGTCCCCGTCACAATGGTCTGTATCGGGAATAGTGTGGGGCCCACCACCCCCACGAGGAGCAGTGTTTCGGTCCATTTTGCCATTCGCGAGCCAATGACCCTGATGTTACTGTTTTTTTGCAACCTTGATATTTTTGTATTTTTAAGAAAGAGACTACGTCACGATCACATAGTATTGCTTTTGCACCCAGTTTTGGACACTTCTTCACGACAGCGTGCCTGCCTCCCTATGCGACTGCCCTGAATTGCCATTGCAAGGAGCCCCAGCACATCTCTCAATCAATTTTATGAACTCCTGACTGCATGTGTCATGGATCAATTTCAATTTGTTACACACCACGTGGGCAAGGCGATGCCTGTCCTTCAAAACCTGTGCTTGCCAATCTTCACCAAAACCGTTGTCAAACACGACTCAGTCCCTGCCTGGCCAATCCTGTAGCTGTGGCTGTCAAGCGCATATTGCGTCCTGTTGGACACCAGCACCGGCAGGTGGGTGTTCGCTTCGACAGCGAAATGCTTGCTCAGAACTCTGTGCTAGCGTTTGCATCCATCAGCTGTAGCACTCTGCCCACAGCCATTCGGGCAAAGGTTTGCAGATAGGAATCAGGGCATCCTTTGCCAATAAGCTTGGCCCAAGGGCTCTCATTCAAGAGCCATGACAACTTTACCATGAAACATGCCTTGAAGTCCTCTGCAAAAGTCCCGCAAAGCCTGTGGGGAATTACTGCATAAAGAAACAGCTGTGCAGTGGAATGAATGCAATGCTTTGCAGGAATTCAGAGCGCAGGTATTGCCACATGTATCAAGCAGCACAATGTCCTTGGTTGGCTACAGTTGTCACACCATGTCACCTCAACATTGAAGCAGATTCCACAGCTGCTGAATCGGCTGCATGCATACCATAGGTCTGGCCTGCACACTCACACTTTGTGCCCTAAAACTCCTCCTTCTGCAGATGGCCATTTTAAACCGACCTGATGAGATCATGCCAGACTTGGTCTTGTGCACATCAGTGCCACATGTTCTAATGTCCATCACAATGAGCTATGAAATCCTTGAGCAGCTGAATGGGATCATCACCAGGCAGTCTCCTGGAAGCACACACCACAGCTACAACCCAATCAGTGCCATACAACCCACAAGCTGCGGTTCTCCTCAATTGTGGCAGCAGAAAGGGAGGGTGATATCGTCCAGGAGGTGCAAGGACTGTGGCTTGCTTCAATCTGATAAGTGCAGTCAATGAGCATGGCACATCAGAATGGCAAACACAGTTCACATTTGTTTCTTGATGAATGAATGCCCATCCTTATGCCATCCGATTGACCTCAACAGTTTGCTGAAATAGTGGATCAAATAAGCCGGCCATCAAAGTGCATTAGCAGCAGATTAGAAACAAACGATCAGAATCATGTTCCCGAGACACATGGTGTTGCTGTTATTGGCAAAGGGCAAACTGGTTGCATAGTCACCTGGCATGGTGCTTTGCAAAACGTTATTCTCCTTGCCTGTAGAGCCACACTTCAATGAAAGGGAGGGGTCAAAACAAGCTCACCACATGGCGATGGGCAGGTCAATGGTCGCCACCCCATCCAGGTTTTGGAGTCCTCCCTCTTCATTGTCGGCGCCATGTACTAGAGATATGAGTTTGCGTGCACCAAACTGAGTCTGACCATTTGCACGGAAAAGTGCAGAGCCACCCATCAGCATCCCTTGGACCTGTCATTGTGATGTTGAAAGGACACTGTCAAACTCCTCCAAAGGAACACACATGAAAAACATAACACCAAATGCAGCGTGGCAGTGACGACCATTTGGGCGCACATGAGTGGGGTCTACAGCGCTGCTGCTCGCTGCCACTGCAGCTACTTCGAATTGCCCCCATACACTTCCTCCTGAGAGTCTCAATGAGCTTCCAATTTACAAGTTCAGCATTCACAATTTAGCTCCGTTCCACTTGCCTTCGTTTCAAAGACAATCTGGCGGAGCTCTTCCGCCGTGAGCATCGCATCCCTACTATTGAATAAACAAACACAGGATCAACTGCTGGCCGGCTGGCAGCTCCCCACGGCAGGGACTGTGCACTGCCTGCAGCCCCCTCCTTCCCAATGGTGAACGTTCAATGAGGTGGATCCCATTGACATTCTCAGTTCCGCTATGCAATCTCCGCCGCAGAGCCGGCCTTGTACCCGACGGAGTCGATGTGGCCATGCCATTCTCTCAATGCAAAAAGCCACCATCAGTTCTGCACTGCAGGACCCTGATGAAGGTACATTGCACAAGGAAAACACAAAGGTGCGGACCCTATAAGGGCCAACGACCCTGCGGGACTTCGTCCATTCCTTTTTTACTGCGACGCGACCTGCGACATGCGATGGACTCTGGTGGCTCGCCGTCGAGTCGCCCAACTGCCGTCGCTGTCGACGTGGGAGTCAGGCACAACAGCAGGAGGCGGTGCGAAGGCTGCAGCCGATTGAACAGGCACCGAGGGCTGAGAAGGACCATGCGAAACGCACTCGGGAAGGGGACGCAAAACCACTCTCAACAACAGTGGCAGTGGGCATTGACAGGCACGCGGGGACATGCACATTCTACTGGGTTGTGGATGTATTTTGGGGGCAGTGAAGGCTGGTGTGTTTGAAGTTTTATTTACCGCTGCCATACCTAGCATCGCTAACTTCATGACTTCATTAGTAGAAGGCTGACCTTCTACCGTCTTGAGCGCTGGTGCGGGAACCGTTGCTATCCTCAGGATTCGCTGCACAAGGCTAACCTGCGCCCGTGAAAGAATCGTATGCGGATCTTGTATGCAAGGGGCTTGCTGCTGGGATATCGAAGCTGCAAGGAACCATCTGCCGGGATGTCAATGAAGAGCTACATCTACAGTACCGTATGGTGAGCTGTCTCCCGGATTTTGGTGGCACTGATCTACTCCACAGGGTATCGATAGCTGAGCCCGCCCTCTCGCTGCCCCTGTGCTAATTACGGTGCATCTTCTGAATAGCCAAATGCGGGGAAATCGATTCCCAAGTCCGGAAATTTCGGAATTGAAGCATGTTGAATCGATGGAGCGCTGTGCAGGTCTCGTCGGGTACCCAAAGACATGAAAAATTAGCATACAGCCAAATGACCTGGAGCTTTCTTCGCCTTGCTTACCCGCAGTCTAGGCTGACGAAATTGAGCAATCAACAGAGCATGTTTGCCACCTCCCAGGATTTTACTGTCGAAAATATTGGTCAAAAGCTGCTCACGCCAGCTTCGGCTGTGAAAAATGTGTGCTCACGGCAGCGCTGCCGTGAGCACATATTTTTCACAGCCGAACGTGCGGATGAGCAACACATCCGGCAACGGATCCGTTGCTATTCGGTTTCATAATCTGTGCTGCCATGTCGGCCTACGATACCCACATACCCGTGAACCGCGAGTGCGTGAGTCTATGCATCTCGTGCACAAGAACTGTTTCTCCAGGCGTGCCAGCACGGCCATATCCTGTGGACATGGTTTCGGTGCATCACATGCAGTGCATGGCACCACATGTACTCCTGTACTGGAGTGCGTTCATTTTGGTCATGGCTTGCCGGGAACTTTCTGCTGTCCATGGCGTGCAGTTCCCGATGTGGAATCCATCCAGGTGCGATTGCTTCAACCCTTAAGCAAAATCTCTGGAGCGGTTTTCTTTAGACGAGAAGGCGAAACTCGCCCGGAAGAACCAGCGTCACTGCCGACGTCAATCGTAACGCCCCTGCGGGAAGTCGCTTGACGATAATTGACGATAATCGGAAGCGAATCCCAATCGGGGATATCTGGGATACCAGGGACGATCTGGAGCAATCTGGAGTGCCAAGCACTAGCCATGCGCACCGCCTCGGTGCCATGCCAACCCCCCTTGTCCTCAGCCGCCAATTTGAAACCACACCTGTTACTAAAACTTCGGGTCGCCCCGCGATTCACATCCTAGAGAGTCATAATCCACGCCCGTTCCACCCCTTTAACATTCCTGCGCATCCACGGCCGCCCTTCGAACAGTACATTTTCTACGGAAGGGACACAATCGCTGCCCGCCCGACCGCCGGTTTCAACTTCCTAAACGGCGGCACCCCTTTGCTGCCGACCTCGACAGCCGCTGCCGTCGGCCCTTCCAAGAAAAGGTCGCCAAATCGCTGGTTCCTGCACAACAACCACCTGGCCAACGCGGCAGTACAGATCTCGCGGCAAGGAGCGCCGACACGCCCATAGACTCAAACGGAATAGGCGACGGGCAACGCCAATTCCCAACTCGAGTCTTGGTATATTCCACACAGCCAAGCCGCCTGCTCCCGCAAAATTGCGTTGTGGTCGCACGCCATCATTCGAACACGTGTATTTGCTCCCCGGAGAAGCCCATTTGGTGCAGGAGTCCCCCGTCCCGCACTCGAGTTTCCTCGTCCATGGGCCCCGCCAGGGAGTCGATCATTCCAGGCGGGCCGCAGATCATGATGACGCTGCCCGGAAGCTCCGCCGGCGGCAGCTGCGACTGCAGCACCGCGCGGTCCAGCCGCCCCTTCCCGCCCGGCCAGCCCTCCGGCGGCTTGGACAGCATGTACAGCACCTGGCGGCCAGAACATGGATTGTCTGTTTCAGGAAAAGTCGCACAACCAAGTGATGTAAACAGTTATGAAAATTTATGTAAAATTACGCAAAGCACTAATCATCTTACCAGCTCTTCCCCAACCCTGGTTGGGGGTGCGTTTTCACCTGAGGGCTGAGCTAAGGAAGGCGCCGAACATGGAGGATCGTGGTGCATGAATTGCTCCCTAGCACCGTTTCGGGGGAAATGTCACGAAGCTCAGTACTCTACAGCAAGTTTTGCACCACTTTTCCCTATTAAACAGATTCCCGTGGGGACGCTGTCTGACCCAAAGCAGCTATCAGACGCAAAGACGAGAAAAATTTTCGAAAGGGCAGTGGGAGATCCGATGGAGCCATTGCAAGCTAGCGTTTCCAAGTGTTCTCTTTCGATCCATGCTTCAGATTGCAGTGGAAGAGATCCATCAGGTCAGCCGGACGTCCAGGGGGTCGGCACCTAGAGCCAATAACGTGCCGCAAATTTATGCATGCATGTGGGGGACTGAAATATTTGGCCCAAGTATTGGGGCTTCCCAGTTGATCCCGCGTCGTATTGGCCAGCGATTGTCGCATTAGTATAACCAGCGAAGTGGCAATCCTCGCATCAGATGAAAGATGGCGTGTATGCCACACATACGTGTGATACACGTATCTGCCTTCGTATGTGCCCGTCCACAAAGGCATGATCTACGTATATGCCATGTTGTTTAATCTGTCGTGTTTTACATGCGCAAGGCATCCAACCGAAATCTCACCCTGATTTTCTTGGGGTGCTGTGCCGCCATTTCGTCCAGCTCCGACCTCATCAATATGTCCTTTTCGAACCGATTTTGGTAAATGAGGCATATCCTGGTCTCATCCTCTGGATCTTTAATGATCGCCTCTGCCACTTGCCACAGGGGCGTGATGCCGCTCCCCCCGCCGATCAGGACGATTCGCTGATACTTTCCCTTGAAGTACTTCAGGGAGCGAACGGGCCCCTTGATTTCAATTTCCCCCCCTTCGCGCAGCGTCCTTATGTACCTGCTCATGCGGCCGTCAGCGTAGCATTTGATGACCAAATACATGATGCCGGGGCATTCGACCTGGTCCGGAATGATGGGCGTGAAACTCCGAACCACGTTCTTGGATGTTTGCGGGTCTCTGCCCCGAATCATTATGTGGGAGGTGACTGGGAGCTCGACCTTTCCTCCTCCTGTTTGGGCAAGCACAGCCAAACATCCTGAATTAGCGCTGAAGCAGATGTGTGTTGGAAATCTTGAATTTGACTTGGGAAACATATTTAGGCATAAAATACAGAAAGGGGCCCATTAGCAACGGGATATGAATAAATCGTGTTTGCAGCCGAGGTCAATCAGTTCGAAAGAACAAAACTGCTTTCAGCTTTATGAGCGGAGTCGTTTCCGGCTGCAAAATGTTACGCTTGCTTTTCTTGTTGCCGAGGTTCTGGTCAACGGCACAGAATTGCTTCCATATAAAAGGAAAACTCCAATTCAAAAAACAATGAATTCATCAGCTGGTCAATGCTGGCGTTCGCATTGCGCTGTGGTATGCAGCCATTACGCAAGAGGGGATGAACGAAACAATGAAGTATAATATCTGGCTCAATTTTTTTGATGGAGGAGTCTGCGCCAATCCCAGAACACGCAACATTTCAGAGCGATACAGATATTTCATGAGAAAAGAACATTTCTGCCCTTGAAATACCACTAAAGTTTTAAAAGCTTTAGCGTTGTAGAGCCTCAGCTGCGCGCAACGGCTGATCAGCTTCCTACACATCACCAAGCCCTGCATGTCAACGCTTGAATGTTCAATCGATTTATCTTTGCATACCAGTGTATTAGTGCGAAATCATCCACATTCCTTACCTGGCACCGACACCTGTATGCCAACAACGTCATCGTTGATCTCCAACACGGACACAACCTCCATCTTGATCCATCTGCGCCGGTCGAGTCCTGTTGGAGGCCGGGCTTCCATCTCCGAGGCAGTGGGTATGAGGGAGATGGCGGAAGATTGGGCGTCCAGGGTCGTCGTCTGCGCGGACAAGCGGGGCTCCCAAATGTTGGCATACGCTCCCAACCGGCCAAGCGCCCAATTCTCTCCCATGCGTTAAAGGCACCAAGAGAAAGCGCATTGACAGCACATTAGATGTTTGGTGGGGAAATAATTAAATGATCTTGTGTGACGACTTGATGCTGTTTTATGAGGTGCAACAACGGCATGAAGTCCAGTCCTTGCCCTGGTCTGTGATGTCCATGGACTGACGGCGATGATCAGCCTGATGGAGGCTTTTTCATCGGGTATTGTGGTCTCACCATCGAAAAACAATTACTAGTCAAGGCAAACAAATGGCAGGAGGTCTTGACTCATTTGGGAGGACGCTTTCTTCCATTGAAGGGCACTTGTGCGCGCCTATGCGTTCTCACCGCGTCAACCCCCGTGCGGTGTTTTCTGAAATTATGGCAACACTATGCACGATGGAGTGCCATACAGTGGACCAAGATCTACGGAGGTGAGAGCGGATTTTGAGTTACCCGTTTAAGGCAAGTCCCATGAGAAGCTCTACGGATAGCACTTCTCCAAACATCAACACTAAACATGCGCAGCAATTTTCCACCCCGCCAAATCTCAGCATTGGACAATACATAAAATTTGATCTCTTCACTTTCCTAGCTGATGGTATTTACAAATATTTCCATGTTTCCACTTTCTGCTATATGCTCTGTGGGTAAAAAGGGCGTTGCCATTCACAAGTCCCGCTCCTCTCTTCCCTCGCCAGCGGGCAGTGGATTTAGCGACAGGTATAACTTTCCAATATGGTAGATTTATAGTGTTATTAATGAAAAATACATATACTTGACAACATTATGTATGTTTTGCGTTGAGCTTCTGATGTGTGCTAAAATTTCAGAAGTGGTCCTAAGGGCATCTGTCTGAATAGGGCAAAACGTCGTGGAGCTGCCCTGTGCTTTGACGTACGTACAAGGAGATAAACAACATCAAAAATTGCAATGGACGAAAATTGTAAGATTGCTAAAACTACGCAGGTGAATGACGAGTAAAGCGGCTTTACACTCCTCAGGCCTTACTAAAGCCTGAGGAAATATTCATCTTGTCGATGTGTGCTACATGAAGTTAAATGCTGCCGATAAACGTGATCAGTGCTCACTATTCTGAATAGATATTACTCTGAACTTCGAGAATTTATTGCATCTGTCGGCGCATTTTGCTTTAATTCTAAATATCAGTATTAAAATAAAATCAATCATCTAAAATATCGAAGGAACCTTAATGAATTTGATTAGTAAAAATGAGGATGCAGTTCCTAGAACGTCCCAACGACCTGCATCTCGTCTCGCCACGTTCTCGCCCCATCGCCATGGCCGTCATCCATGGACGCACTTGGAATGACGCCCTGGTCTCCAAGGAGTGGAGCGTACTCTGAATGGGCGGAAAAACTGAAATCAGCACATCCCGCGTTTTGCGCATCCCAAAGCGGCGAGTTTTCATTTGGCCAATATGTCAAGGACACCAACGCCGACATGTTGTATCACGAGCGCAGGCAGCGGCAGTCGTGTATCCGTGTGGTCATCCCATGAGATGCTTTTCTCCACCGATTGCTAATACCGATTCAGATCACGACTGGATCTTGGAGATCTCCAGGATCTAATCGCGATCTCAACAGCATCACACCGCTCTAACAAGAAGATTTGCGTGAACTGGTAGGTGATAATTACATGATTGGTTGGATTCGCTGCTGTGTACAGCGTATTCTGGCATATTGTTTTCCGCGGTTCAATACTTTCTGCACATCAAAATGAAGATAGTTTTAATAATACAGACAAGAATGTACACAAGTAAGCAATATAATTCCAATGTGGCTCTATGTGTATTATGTTATATCAACAGTCCAATTCATTCCAATAAATGCATGCGTGTATTCACGTAGTTAGATTTGTTGTTATACACCCACCCACCCACCCACCCCCCGAGATTAGTTGTCGCCTATGATTTCGGGAAATTATTTCTCCATCATGCCTATATAAATTTAAATTAAATTTAACTCAATGCTTTGTTTTCAAGTTTGGAGTATTCTGTCAAAATTTCAAGTCAATACATTAAGTATTGAGGATTTGGCCCTACTTTGTATCAAGGGTCTTTTTACATAGAAAACCTCAATATTTTCCTTTCACCCAACGCTCAAAGGGTCGTGTATCACCTTTTCCTCTTTTGAATTGGTATTTAAGGGTTCAGGAACCCAATATTTTCGATTTTGATCTTGTTTTGCAATTTTGAGGAGGTCCTTGTAACGAATTTGTATTTCAAATAGACGACAATTAATCTGGGACGGAAGAAGCATGAATAGCTCCTTCCTATTTAAGTTGGAATAAGGTCTAGCCAACAACAAATTTTTTTTGTGCTTTCTTTGAAAGACAAGTGCGTGCACATTATTTGAATCTATTGAATGGAAAACAAATGGGATCTGAACAATGACGGCGTTGCCTCCCCGAGCTACCTTGCCCCTCCGACGACCTCTGCGTCTCGAGCTCTTCGGTAGTAGCCCCCAACATGGCTGCCACGCTGGATCGTGCCTTCTGAGTGAAGGAAGATTTATCGCCCTAGTGGAAATGTCTAGCCATGACGAGTTAGTACTAACTTAGAGAAAAAGATCCATGAGTTCATATGTGGCAGCTGACAAAAATCAACAAATATGCAAATGACAATCAGAGCATATACTTAGGCATCCGATTATGACCATCACTCGAATTTCTTTGGTCGGTTCAAGTACATCCACAAACACCACTCGGCAAAGGCGACAGCTTCGCGGTGAAGCAGACACTGGGTCAAGCACCGCATTAAATACTGCAACCTGCTGCACAAAATACTCGACTCAATTGGCACAACAAAGCCCTGGAATCAAATTTGGTCATGGAATGGCCTGGAAGCGCGCACAAGATCCGCATTTCGCCCCATCTTGTTCACCTGAGCTTCTTCTGTAGTTTCGTTCTGGTCAATCAACATTGAGCTCTGGTCGCGATCACCCCTCCCAAGGAGCGCCTCATCGTACATGATGTCGCCGACCATCAGCGACTGGAGAAGCTTCATGACCTTCCGGTCCCCTCCGTGGATTTCCAAGAATGGGTCCGTTCCATCAATCCCCACTATGTCCTCTAGGACCTTCGCCCCGCCGGGGTGCTCCGTCATATAGAACGTCAAGTCGTATACCACGTCATTTATGATGGTCCACTTCTTGCCCTCTTGCACAGCCTGTGCGACGCGCACATGGTCAGCTGTCTTCGAAATACCAAAGGCGAAAGCCAATATCAAAGGCAAAATGAGCATTGGAAATGGTTACGGCCAAAACTGCCCTACTGATGAAATGACATCAACCAGGCTTGTTCTTTAAATCGTAGACACAGATCGTATTCACCTTTTTACGCCAAAAAAATCATTCTGAATGTAAAAGCGCGTAAAATTACGTAAATACAACGCAAATGAAGTTGGTTGTACATCAGGGCAGTAGATACAGCCTTGGGAAGTCCGGGGAGTGCCAGCGAGACGAGCTGGAACGTGCAGAAAACGAACTTTGTTCCACGCTGTCGTGGCCCTTGCCGATGGCAAAGTCGACTCTGTGCAACTAGGTGCTCGAGGGGGCGGATGACTGATCATTTCACGCAACTTTTATCGTGTAACATAGGCGTCACAGCGAGCCGTAATAACGTAAATACGGCCGCAAATATAGCCTCTTTGCAAATTTACGTTCTGTACGTAAAACCTTAAGCACAAAAACGTAAACGTAAGCGCACATATTAAGACTGCCATCAACTAAGACAGCCGATCCGCTGGCAATGTTCGCTTTACGTCCGATCTAGATGAATGCATCAACGGGGAGCGTCACAGCATACTTCAGATTGTATTCAAAAGGACGTTGGATTTGATTGTGAAGTTGGCCTTTTAGTTGAAAATTCAAAACTTTTCGAAATGGTTTACAGTATGCAATAAATTATGGGTTCCTTCGTCCCAAGGACCGCCATCCCACCACCAAGAACTCTTCCGACGTGAGCGTCGCTTCTCCAACGCTGTCGTCATCTGCGGTTTCGCTGAATCCGGTTCGGCCGTCACTGCGTCAGTTCAAAATACAACTTAGGAGCACATATTCAGAATGGTGTAAACGCAATTGGAAATGGCGGAAAATGGCGTCGGTTGATTCTAAAAAGCGACAACAAAACGCCGGCTAAAGATAAATATTAAATAGCAAAAAAAATGAACAAGGGATATATCAGCGAATTTTTCCTGTGATGAAAGAACATCTCTCTCTTCAAACAGCAGGCGACGGAAAACTGCAACTCGACAAAAATCTAGATTGAAAGGCAAGTCGCATCTGTCATGTAATTGCAGACATACTTTCAGAGCAGCGGTATCAGATGATGATTCTTGAATCATCATCTGAAGTATTAAAATACGGAATTGAAACTTTTCAGGGAATATTGACAGCTAGTTTGAGATAGCTACGGGTTAATTTGGAGAATCGGTTGCCGCAAACTGAATCTAATGTTCCTCCTATTTTTTTTCACAAAACTAGTGTGTTGTTCATTTTCACACAGCATTTGTAAATTTG